ATATCCAAAGTTAAACGAAGGGAAAATACACCAGGAGCACAGATAAACATTTTCTGAAAGCCAAACTGAAGATGTTGCCCTTCCTTCAGTTCCTTATCTGACCCAGTGAGAGCATCTTCTTTCCCTCCTCCTGCAGAATGGAGCATCTGGTTCTGCTTTGGGAGGTGAAACCAAGAGCTTTCTGGCTTAGGGTCACACACATACATGTGGGGTTTCTTTACTAAAGGATACGGACTTCTTTGCTTGGCATATCCTTAGCAGCTGCTTCCATAATTGCTCCACTCTGTTTACACAAGTTGCTCCTTTGGTACTCACCAAATCCTTCCCATGTGCATTCAGAGCTTCTAATGCGTTCATGCCATGCTAACTATCAAGGCAACCAAAGCAGAGAGGTGGTTCCAAACACTCCTTGCTTCTTTGGTTCCCTCCTTTGTTCAGAGGAGCTCCTCTGCACTTTTATTATGAAAAGTACTCAAGAATTAAGACAAAGACACAAACTCAACTCTTTACTCACAGAACTGCACCTGCCTTCAACAGAATTATTAAACTGAATTAAAGAGAGTGAGAATTTCTTAATGGGGGAAAGAGAAGGGAGTAGAATTCAATGAAAGTTGGTACTCCTGGGTAACGAGTTCAAAGATAATATCTTAGGGATATGGTTTAGTGGGGACTGTTAGTGTTAGGTTAGAGGTTGGACTCGATGATCTTGAGGTCTCTTCCAACCTAGAAATTCTGTGATTCTGTGATAATTCTGATTTTTTTCAGTAAAATAAGCTTGAGGGAAAAAATTGAATATTTATCAGTGCTTAAACATGATGCAGTAGTGAGTAGCTGTAGTTTGCATTATCACTAGGATTACCTAGAATTATCAATCCAACACTTAAAGAAAATCTGGATCCTTGTACCGTACAAACAAGGCAGAACAGCCTTCACGACATTCATCTACAACTTAAAGGCTTACAAACATACATTTTGGTGGACAATTTATTTATTTTCTTTTGGCAAACAAAAGATGGAGCAAAATTAATGCTGAAAAGCCCTTTAAGAATATTAGTTCATAAATACTAATCAAGGTCAGTAAGGTGATCAAGGACTATTCCAAAAGCTGTTATCCATTGGTCACGATTTAATCACTTGAGGTTGATTTCAGAGCAACTTTCTCCTACAAAACCAGCCACACTTCATCATAGCCAAAGTTGACTGCTACAAGACCTCTATCACCAGATAATTGTGGAGACCGGGTTTGGGTCAGTTAGGCTACAGCTGACAATCCAGCTCATTTCACAGCCACAGCAGACCCCACCTGGAAATTGAGGCTGCTTGAGGAAATAAGGCCAGCAGTTCTTTGTTTTGAAATAAACCTCCAGTCGGAAACATCTTAGCTTTCTGCTTCTAGAATGGGGACAGATACATTAATAGACTTTTCTGGTCATCTGGAGAGGACAAGTTCATCGCTTCTGCTTGTTCAGAAACTCCAAGAACACCTAAGAGAAAGACGGAGATTTTTCCCAGATCCATCTGGCTTGCTCAAACCAAAACCAGCATTAAGCCATCTCTGTTCTTGACTCTACAAAAAGTCCTTTGACACTTTGGGAAAGTTTTTTTTTAACATCCCTTCATATCACACAAGTTCCCTCTGAAAGCAGGTGCCAGTGGAATAGTCGCGTAGGCTGAAGTCAGACTCAATGCATTACTCTGAGTCTGCGTGCATTGCCAAACGGAGTACTCATGTCGCAAGACATCTAACAGTTGCATTTATTCTAGTTCGTATTTTAACTGGGACAGGGTGCAGCCCAAACTGTAGAGGGAGAAGGCCAGAAATTTGTTTTGATCACTTAGTCTGGTAAAAGATACAACTCAAATTGGCACTTGCATTAAACCATTTCTCAAAAACAAAACAAAACAAACAAACAAACAAAACCTCCAGTCAAAGTTTCCAGTGGCATGGTGTTCCTTGGTTCTAGGGAAGTTGTTGGAATGGTTAATTGTGCCCCCCACCCCCGTTATAATTTACCTTATTGCCAATTTGACTGGTGTCCAGTTTCAGTTCACAGGCGTTCATCCTCTCGCACTTCAGTTATTGTAATAAATGACCGAGTTCTATCCTGCGTGGAGTTGGTAGCTGAAGAGCAGAGGCTGCAGTGCTCACGGGCTGTTGTAAGCAGCTTCTGTACATCCTTCTGACTTAATTCCTGTGGTTTTCTCTGGCACACAGGAGAGATGAAGGACTGCAGGGTATGGCGGTGGAGGAGAGGCCACGGAGCCAGGGCTCCTTTCTAGGGGATCCTATTTGCACCTGAGATCCCAAAGCAGTAGGTACTCCTCAGAACAGTGCAGGCACCCCACCTAGAGGGCCCACACTCACATGCCTTTCAGAGAGACTGTAAGCTTCCTGTAACTGTAATTACATGGAAAAAAAGTCTTCAAAGGTTGAATTCTATAATATACACAGATAAACCGCCACATGCCGAAGGGCATGTTTTCTCTCTGCATTATGACCTCTGCAAGGAAAATATTGATGAGTTGAGCTCCCACTCAGCGCAGTCATCCTACCAAATCTGAATTCAGCAGTTCTCACAGATGTGTTGCAGAATTAGATACTTAACATTCTTGGCTGTTAATTAATTTTACCCTAATTCTAATGTATTCAGAGAAACCTTTGTTCCGAAAGAAATTTTAAAAATTGCCATGTCCAAGTATTATGCATTTAATGCCCTAAGTTTTTTTTTTAGTATGTGTGTAGGTTTCAGTTGTACAGAGGCTGTGTATTATAGAATCATTTAGGCGATGATCTAAGGTCATCAAATCCAACTGTTAACCTAGTGCAGCCAAGCCTACCATGGGGCACTAAACCATATCCCAAAGCACCACATCTACACATCTTCTAAATACCGCCAGGGATGGTGACACAACTGCTTCCCTGGGCAGCCCGTTCCAGTGCCTCACAACCTGGTCAGTGAAGAAATTTTTCCAAATGCCCAACCTAAACCTCCCCCACTGCAACTTGAAGCCATTTCCTCTTGTCCTGTTGCTTTGGAGACCAACCCCTGCCATACTACAACCTCCTCTGAGGTAGCTGTTTGTAGAGTGCAGTAAGGTCTTTCCTGAGCCTCTTCTCCAGGCTGAACAACCCCGGTTCCCTCAGCTGCTCCTCATAAGATTTGTTCTCCAGACCCCTCATCAGCTTTGTTGCCCTTCTCTGGACTTGCTTGAGCACCTCGATGTCCTTCTTGTAGCGAGGGGCCCAAAACTGAACACAGCACTTGAGGTGCGGCCTCACCAGAGCAGAGCACAGGGGGACAATCACCTCCCAAGCCCTGCTGGCTGCACTATCCCTCATACAAGCCAGGATGCTGTTGGCCTTCTTAGCCACCTAGGCACACTGCTGGCTCATATTTATCAGGCTATCAACCAACACCCCCAGCCCCCTGTCCACCAGGCAGCTTTCCAGCCACTCCTCCCCGTGCCCATCGTGTGCCATGGGGTTGTTGTGCCCCTCGTGCAGGACCTGACACTTGGCCTTGTTGAATCCCATACAGCTGGCCTCAGCCCATCGATCCTGCTGTCCAGAGCCCTCCTACCCTGCAGCAGATCACCACTCACATCTAATTTGGGATTATAATTATATGCTGCACTTGAGGCAAAGCACCGTAAGTTAGAGAAATGACAATTACTTGTAGAGTTCAGCTTGCTGTGTGTATTTCCACGTTACTAATCGAGGCCATGTTGCTATGTGCACATTTCTGGCCAGCTGAGGAGTTACAAGGTACAGTTGTAACTGTAACGGTCCCAGATAAAAAACACATTCAGTAATTCTCTTTTACCTAGCCACTCTGTAAGCATAAAATCCAGCCACTGGTATCCTGGCGTCACTTGCAGAACACCAGAAGTGCCATCTAAAGATCATAATTTTTACAGCTTGTGCTGTTTTCTTGATTGTTTGTTTGTTTTGTTTTACAACCAAAGCTCTTGCGCCTTGCTGCAACAGCTGCAGTTTGGCCAACTCTTTTATTCCTGGGAAGATTCAGTGCTTCTAACATCACACGACTAAAGAAATGCATTTCACTAAGCAGCCTTCCAAGCAGGTTTGTGGTGCAAATGATGCAGTAGCATCACCACCACTTCTTTGCTGGCACCTTCCACCAGTGTGTCACCTCAGCAGGTGGACCCCTGCAAAAGCAGCCCAGATGGTGGTGCACGAAGCCCTTGGGTTGCCCTGGCAGCTTTCCATCACCATTACACAGAGTCACAACAGGGGATTTGTACAGTTTTCCAAAAGGGCTACAGTTGCCCTCACTCCACCTGAGAGCATCTCTGAAGCTGAGGTCTGTGTTGCGTGAAGGAGGTTTTTCTCCCCCGCATTGTTTAAGAATAAAAGGGAGACTTTATCTAAGTTGATTTTTCAGCAGGTGTCAGGGTGTGTTCCATATGCTTTCCAGGTGTTTTCCATGGCTTGGGGAAAGCCCAAATGTGTACTAAAAACATATTTAACTTTCTCATAATGGAGGCTAGGAATGATCACAGCCTTTGAAGACCTGCCCTGGTTTCTGAGAAAGCTTTTAAAAGCATTGTTAGTGGCTTTAGTGCATGAAATGCAACAACCCTCAGCTGTCGGTAACCAAACAGACCTGGTAGGAAAGCTCCTTGGGCTTGTCAGACTTCCGTGAAACGAAACCCTTGTTGTACCATCTCTGCTTCTTACGCAATCTGCAGAGGGAACTGAGCTCAGCCTTCGCTCCGTCACACACCTTGTGCTGCCATCCCACGTGGGCATGGATCGAGAGGCGCTGCAGCTTACGGGACACGCTGGGGAACGCAGCGGGCAGACCAAGGCACTCAGCAGAGCTCAGAAGGCAGCAGCCTCTGCGTGTTCCCTTGGCTCCCACTTCGGCCACCTCCTTTGTTGCCATTCCTCAGGCTTGCCATTAATGCTCTCCCCTCCAGCTCTTCAATAATAAAAGACCAAGAAAACCTAACATGATTGCTTTCATCTCACCCAGGTGAAGAGCCTTTGTGCAGCTTTATCGCAGAGCTACTTGCCATCACAGCCCAGGCTTCCCACCTCCGAACTGGTCCCAGCCTCCTGCACTCGATGCAGCCCACCAGCCATGGAGCCATGCTCTGAGCACAGCCTGCAGCGCCTGCCCAGCCACGCTGAGGTCAGATCCCACCTCAGGGCTCCCAAACTGTAAGTCCCAACCTGTGCACAGCAGCTGAAGCACAACACATGATGTTGGGTGTGCTCCTGATGTGGTTACAGAGTAGTGGGGCTGGGGCAGTGGGAACGAAGCAGGCTGAGCTCTTGACATTTCACAGGGATGGTTTGTTCTTCAGCAGCATGACACGCGCGTACAGGTGCAAAGCGTGAGAGGTCTGAGGGCAGAGCTTGGCAAAGATCCTTGCTTAGAGGAGAGAAATTGAGCTGAGCACGCTGTCAGCCCCACATCCCTCGTTGCCCAAGAGCAGCTGCCTGTCAGACTGGCACAAGCACTTGCTTGTCCATGCTTGCCTTCTCCTAGCAGGGAAAATAATGTTAGTAGAACAGAGCCATCAGGACTCCTACCACCACGTTTGCTAAATGGATCTACTGAAATATAAAACTTTTTTTTTCAGGCCACATCCTACCTACCTGCTTCACCCATCTGTTTCTCTTTATGTGTTTTATTCCCTCTGGTACATCGTCTGCATGCTCCTTGTGGCACGGACCGTCTCTGTCCTTGGGGGGTCTAGACCTCAGCGGGGGCTTCAAGGCATTAAATGAACAGAATAAATTCTGAGTAATACGATAAGCTCCTGAAGAAGAGGCCAAAGCCGCAGCAGCCTCGTGCAGAGGAACTGGAGGAGAGCAGCAGGAGCTCTCAGCTCCGAGCCAGTTCTGGCACAGATCTCTCATGTGCAAGTGGGGAGCTTTTTGCCTTGTTTCCCCTGGCTGGGAAACAAAAACTGAAATATCCATTTTTAGACACCTAAGTTGTGCTTGGGCTGTAAGGGTTAGCAGTCCTAAAGTCGCTCCTTGAGGATAACCAAGTAACCACGTAAAGCCTAAAGGTGTGCCTTTAAAAATGAGGTGGTTTATTTTTAGTTGTACTGGAGTCAATGGAAAAAAAAAATTCAAATCCTGTCTCAAATCTGGGAAAAGTAAGCGCTGAATGTCAGAACACCATTTCCTTCCAGAAGATTACCAATGGTTTATTATTCCACGTGTATATTTAGAATATTCCGCTTACATAGCTGCTTTAATATCCACCACATTAAAACACTTATGATAGCTGATTGATCACCTGCATAAGCAAGTTGCAAGCTCCTCCACCTGGCCCATCACACGAAGTACTTCTTGGAGCATCATTTCAGCAGGTGTGGGTGAACACGAGATTCCTCTGCACAATCCCCCTGATAACAGGCACACAGATGCCACGCTCCGCATCCTGCGTGGAGACCACGTGGCCCAAAACGTCAGCAAACCAAACAGTGCTTGTAGAGCACTCAGTAATGTTCCTGCAGGTTGGCGAGTAAAAACATGTTGTTTTTTAAAAAGTGTTTCCTGTTTCTTTGGTGCTGTCCCAGCTCTTGTGCTGGGAGCCGTACAGTTGGAAATCGTCCTGGTAACTGCTGAGTTCACCTGTGCCTAAAGGACAGAAATGGTTTAATGGCAGAAATAGTGAGAGATCAAGAAGAGAACAAGGACAGGAATTTCTCAGAGGTACCACAGAACTCTCTCTTCTATACTAAATGACCCTGGATTGAAGAGTACATTAAACCAACTTAAAAAAAAAAAATGGAAAAAGAACAGAAAAATGGCACAAACACACCACTACCTGTTCTTCCTCTTTTCTTCTATAGGTCAGGTATATGAATACACTTCATTCTCCTGTTCCTTTGATTCTGGCCTAACTGAGTGTGCTGGTTTGCATCCTCACTAGCTAACGCTGTGACCTTTCTTTGAGGATTTGTAGGAGGGCTCAGAAACATGCTAGGTGTGGAAGCTTGCGATCGACAAGAAAAACCTGCGTCGTAGCTTAACTCTCCAAGCAGCGTGGAAAAAATGTTAAGAACTTGAGGGGGTTTCTATTTTGCAAACAAGAGGAAGTTCATTTCCTCTGTTAGCTCACCAGAGCATTATGTGCAAAAACACGCCTGGAGCTCTCGAAATACCTTCACTTATTTCTGAAGCTACCAAATGTATTTATAGAGCCACCTGAGAAACACTGATTTTTCCCTTACAGAATACTACAGAGCTTTTCTGAATTGTTTCATGAACCAAACTTCTTAAAAACGCCCAGACCTACAGAAGTTGTGAACTAGAATCAAGTCTTGGGCCTTTTTCTTTTGGGGGGGGGGAGAGGGCAGGGGAGAGAATTGTAATATTTGAGTGGTATTGTCAGGACAGTTAAAACTGCCATATTAATGCATAACTAGGTGACTCCATGTGCCAACTTTACTATGTTAATAAATCCAGCAATCAGCAAATGAGCCTAATATATTACATGTGCCTGTAAGAATCCACAACTACTTATGTCTCATCTGAAGGCATGCACAGGTTAGAAAAGAAATGAGAACAAATTCGTAAATGAAACACGATAAATGTTCAGGCTTAGAACAGGTGGAGCAAAAATGAGGTGAAAACTGAGAAACACGATGTCCTGGTCAGCAGGTGAATGCCTAAAAGGATGAGAAGCAGTCACTTGTTGCATGTGCCACCACTCTGGTTCATAACAGCCGAGAGCTCGTTCGCTCTCTGTCTAGGCATCCTGGCAATTAACCAGATCAGCAATGTTAAACAACACTTATAAAAATAAAGAAGGATTTGGGTATGTTTTAGCCAAGATGCTTTACCAAACTGCTACCATTCCTTCCATGGGATGGGGTGGGATGGGATGCCTCTGTGCTCCTGTTACAATCCTTTATTGCCTCCATACCTTCTATTACTTGCAATAGTTAGGACTTGACAAATTCAGCCTAACTAAGAATTATCTCCAGCAATCATTTAATCTTCTTGTCGCTCTAATGACATACACAAGTAGAAGGCTATCTGAGATCTTTATGACTACCTTGGTTTGGTATCTAGAGGTATTCCTCTATCCCATGCATCGCTGTATGCTGTCACTTGGCGAAACAGAATTGTTTTATGAAGCGCTCCTTTCTTTCTAATAAAGGACAGGTTGCCTAGAACTGGCCTCAGCTAGGCTTTGATTCAGGGTGTCAAGCACAAACACCATCCCGGCTGATCCAAGACATTGTTGTCCCTCCGGGTATTGTCTCTGCAGTGCTGGCAGAATGACAAATGTAATTGTTCCCCATTTAGTTTTGTCAAAATGGCCCGATGTGGAAACCTACAACTGCTTGGCAGCCAAGCGCTCATTTGGTAGCATAATTTTTAAATTTGCGTGTTCAGGTATAGTCGGTATGTGTTTTTTGAGGAAGTGTAGCATAGCCAATGCTACTCTGTGTTCCTGCTGCAAATCTACAGCTACACAAAGTTGTGAAAAAATAATATCAACAAATAAAATACCGTACTTCATAGCAAGGGACACCCCGCCTACTTCTCCCGATCCCTCACATACCAGTCCTAAACTGACACAGTTCACCAAGGTCACTGGCACAGTGAAGTCCTGAGGCTTCTTTCTTCAAACGGATCCCGAAAATGCTGCACCTGCATTCTCTAGATGCCCAAGTAAAATAATTTAGAACCAGTATTTGAGATCTCTATGTACAAATAAGAGTTTCCACCATCAAAGCAAGTCAGACTCAATTTGTTTCAAGTCATGGTTCCCAGCTCACACACGGACTGCTGTCCTCCCCAGCACTCCGCTGCGTGCTGCAGGCTCTGAGATGCTGAGATACCAAAGAAACATCTTATGTTGCTGCCAGATGGAAACCCGGGGATTATTTCAGAGGCACATGCAGCTGAGCAGCCACTGACACCGCAACAGAACCAGAGTTTGGGCACAGAGTCCAGACTTTGTCGCCCCTTACTCTGATAGGATAAGCAGGGAAAAAAACAGTACAGGATGAAATCATTTTTCCCTAAAGCAAGAGACATGAAATTGTGAATGCAAACTTTGCAACATCCTGCAAAGAATAATTTGTGGCAGGAATAATTACAATTTAAGGTAGTGTAACAAACAGTTTACTGATTTATGCTTTCACTCCTTACATATCCGCAAGAATGGTATCAAACAAAAACTCATAACAACCATGCTAATTTCTAGGCATAGCTCCCCATCACTGGAGAAGTCCCAGTAAAGCTGAGTTACCGTCACTTCCAGCTTTCTTACCTGTGTGCGTGCGCCCTTTGGTTTTAATCTGGGTCCAAAGTAGTGGATGGTGGCATGATTTGTGTTCCACTGGGTACTGAGAGTCCCTGGATTAAAAACATCCAGAAAAGTGAAGTCTGCATTTGTGCTTCAGCTTCATTGTGAATGTACTTTCTGCCATCAATAACAGCAGGTTTGGGATGCAAGGGTCCTTTGGTGATCTGCTGAAATTGCATATTTTTCTTTTAAACTTTTATTAAATATTTAACCTTCCCAAGCGATCGTTTTAAATTAGTGCAGGGAACTCTCTTGAATCCCTCCTCGCATTTCCCATTGCCAGTTCTGATTTCCTGTGGCAACAGCTGCTCGAGCACCACCTTTATGGGATTTTCAGCAGCATCAAATCTTTATTCAGAACATGAGAGGGTGAGACTGAAATTGATACTGAATTGAAAATAGAATGTGTTCCCATAAAAATACTGGTGTCGAAATTGCAGCAAGAGTATATAGGATCAAAGTGAAGAGTAATATTTTCTGTCACTCACTTTCCAGAACGGTAGAAATACTTTCAAAATACAGATTGCAAAGGATCTAAAGGCGTGAAGATGTATGACTTGACGAAACGCGTTTGCTGAAATTGGAGAAGGACAGACCATGATGACAGCAGCAACTGAAGTTAACCCCGCTCCGCTCCTGTCACCCCACCATTCCCCTGCAGGTTAGTAAACTGGTAGGGAAAACTAGAAGTTACCAAAGATCTTCACAAGATTGAGTTATGTGCAAGTAATTCTGATAAGGAACCAAGAAATGGAGCACAGTACAACGATGCCTGGTGCAGGCTGCCCTGAGGAGCTGTGGCTGCCCCATCCCTGGCAGTGCCCAAGGCCAGGCTGGATGGGGCTAGGGGCAGCCTGGGCTGGCGGGAGGGGTCCCTGCCCATGGCAGGGGCTGGGATTCGATGGGCTGTGAGGTCCCTGCCAACACAAACCAGCCTGGGATTCTCTGTAACAGACAGTCGCAAACTCACAGACCAAACTGCCACCTCTGTCACGTCCCTGCTCGCTCTTTCCTTCTCCTTTCCCCTGCCCTGTGAAATACGGCAGCGGCAGCAGAGGCTGAGAGCGCACCCAGCCCTGGGAGCAGCTTCTGCCTCTCTTGCACGCTTCACTGGCAAATTGCTCATCCCAGGGACAAACAGGAACTGGCTTTTATGCTTGAAGGGTGTTTATGTTGTGCATAATTCAGTGAAGGCCCTATCCTGCTTCCATCGAGCCGTTACGCTTACTTCAAAGGCAGAGAGTCCCGTGGTGGAGCAGGGGCTGGCATGGACCAGCCTGCCTTTGCTGTGCCTCTCCCACTCCAGAGAGGCAGTCACCAAACCACACCTCACTGCTTCCCCCCAGAACACACCAAGGAGCCAAACAGGAGATGATTTTCGTGGAATGAGGTGAAGTCATTCCAAATTAATGACAAACACAGACGAGCTTTGTGAGGGGCACCAGAAGTGTCAATTCTTTCACGAGCATAAAAGCTCTGCTAAATAACTACAAATAACCACATCCCTACCAAACCCCGGCACACATGGGCTGGGAGTAGATGGGCTGTGAGGTCTCTGCCAACCATTCTGTGATTCTCTGGTTCTGGGAAGTTCACATACAGAAGACGAGGGCTGGCATGCCAGTGTTGGGTTTTACCTGCAGAGGACAGTAGAATAAACAGAGAGGAGAATTAGGAACATACTGGATGTGAGTAAATCTGTTTTCTTTCACGTGTTCACTAAATAACATTCTCCTGCTGCTCAGAAATATTGTACCATGGGTTTGCTATCACCTCTGAATAAAGACAGACACTTTTCTTCACTCAGATAATTTATCTGGATTTTTAATTTTCATTTACTGGAAAAAATCTGATACTGCTTCCGGAATGAAAGCTTCCCCCGGGGTTAAGCAATTAATACAATGCCAATTTCTGAATGCCTGCTACTTGCAGTTTCAATTACAAAGGTCAAATCTGTTTCTGAACAATACTGAAGCCAACTCACAGACATCAAAACTGACCTAAGAGTTGAAGTGCACTCAGACATGTTAACCTGCCTCACTTAAAGGCTGTTATTTATGATTCCATATTCTGCTTTGTGCTCTAAGAAAGTTTCAGTTCACACAAGCACAGAGCACTCATTAGTTGTTAGTGGATACTAACCTGAAATTAAGTCAACACAAAAGAAAACTAAGAGGAATCAAATGTTTTCAGGGGCACCACATGCCCAAGGCTCCTGCCAGCTGCTGTGCTTTTGCAGGATTTTGAGATAAACACACACGTTTTTCCCATCCCACCGTTTGCAGAAGTCACGTTCGTAAAAGGGTGAACTTATCAGGGAAGGCATGGCTTAACTGCAATAGTATGGATTTGTTGGATCAATTTAATATAGAAATTAACTACTGCGATGGGTATGGATTTGTTATGGATCAAATTAATATAGAAATTAATTAACAGATAGAGGCTGAAAACTTCAAACATGCCAGTCCCACAACTCCCATCTCTGCTGCTCTCACTGAGATACCGCTGACAGCGCACACAAATGATCTCAGACACTTCAAAGAAAGCAGAGGCACCCAAAGCTCCCTCTCTGCATTTCTGCAACGCACACACAACTTTATTCAAGAAAAAGACCTTACTCCATGGAACGTGTTGAGATACCAGGAAAAGGGTCGGTAAACACAAAAACCAAGCTGTACATTGCACCTGCAATGAAACAGGTCTCAGAACATTCCTTTAGCTCCCAACTGCCAGCTGCTGGTACCGACTCACGTCCGCATCTGGCCATTGAGGTAAATTCAGAGGGGTCTGAATCTTTTGGCCCACTCTGTTACAAAACCAATAGGTCCACAGGAACAGGCAATAACCTGTGACCCGAGACACCAGAAAGGGCACATGGTGCAGGTACATCATAGCCATTAACACTGCCCAAGTTATCTTAAAATAGCATGAACTAATTTGGGAAGCAACAAACTCTGGTGATCTTTCTTGTATAAGGATGTTGGTATAACTTAAATTTAACACAAATTAAAAAAAAAAAAATTCAGAGAGATGTGACTTCTGAATTGAAGCCACACATTTAAATAACCAGCAGGAAGAAAAGCAAAGTGAATCACATCTTAATTACCACCAGGCAGACCCAGAACAACGATGGATGCACAGCTGTGGCTGGAGGGCATTAGCAGCTTGCAAAACACACCAAGTGGAAACTTGGTACTTCTGTGTGAAGGGGATTCATTTCCAGAGATCATTAAGGCATCTTCAGCACAGCCGTGACCGTACACTGGAGGTATTTTCTGTACTTCAGAAACTGTTTTTGAACTCCAAGCTAATCCTCCAAGCCTGAGGTTCATAACTTGTGGAAGAATCACCTGTCCAGGCTCACGTGAACAACCCTCTCCCTTCTTTTGCCAGCTGTTCTGTAACATCACAATCCTTAAATACTCTTCTGCTGCTTCCAGTTGTGGCTCCCGTATGTTCAATTCAGTGTAATTACCACCCGAAATCTGACTGCAGCAGCACTCAGAAAGCTGAAGGTAATTGTGTGTGCAGAGCCAGACGCACAGATCACAGGCTGCCAGGGGAGCAGAATAAGCAGAAAAACTCAGCCCTTTCAGAACAAGGCAATTTTTACACCACTTAATGGCTCTTTGATGGAACGCTGAAACAAAGCAGTCAGAGATATCATTGAGAGAAATGCATAAACTCTGCAAAGAGAGCTATTTCTTAAAGGACAGGCACTGACTCCTAAAAGGTTTTGTTAAAGCTCCCCCATGTCAGTCTGTTGCTCAGGAACAATTCTCAGAAGGCAGTGTTCGGTTTGGGTTTTACTATTCCCACCCAGCACATGACACTAGCTGGTTTCAAATGCAGGACAGGGGATTTTAAGCACAACTGGTGTAATTATGCCCATCTTCAACTCTCTGAACATCTCCTGTCTTCCAGGTGCACTTGTCTACCAGATGCACTTACCAAGACAGAACAAAGCTGCTGGGGAGATCCTCAGGTGTTTTCATGCAGGAAACATGCCCTAAATAATGCCAGTTTAACACTTCTCATACACTTGAAAGAATTAGCTGTATGGAATAGCACATTCCTGTTTAGTTTAATACATTTGTACCTTTGCTATGAAAAAGATGGCTCTGTCAAGTGCTGCTTTATGAGCCTGCTACAAACCAGTAACACGACAATGCAAGAACAGTGCTTATTTTCTGTTTCATCAAGAAGTAATTCCCTCCAGCATTCAGAAGTGACATAAAATCTTTTAATATGTTGAGCAATTTCATTAAGTTCTCTGTAAAGGAAGAAAAACACAGCTTGAGATACAAAAGCTTTTAAAACATGCCAGGGAATTTCACCGGGAAAGTAACAAATTATGCAAGCCACAGGCCTATATTACACATTAAATATGTTGGCTGAGACATTAAACAACCATAAAAAAATCTTTTTATATAAAATGATTTAAGATCTATTGTTCAAGAACTAAAGAGCAAACATTTACTCTTTTCAGATTAATATTAGGAACTTTTTTTAAAAAAAAAAAAAAAAAAAAAAAAAAAGGGGCATTCATCTGATGATGGATGTACATTCCCAAGCAGAATTCAGCATCGTGGTTCTTTCCACAGAGCACCTCCGAATAAAGCAACGGCCACATATTGCCCAGGAGACTAAACAAATGGAAGAACTCCACGGAGCAGGCTCCTATTTTCAGAATTTCACTTTTTCCTGTTCTTGAAGGAGCTGTTGTGAACCCTGACTCTCTTCTGCACAGAGGAAGCGATCTTCAGAGTCTCTTTCTTTGTGAGGGACTTTTCCACAGCTCCGGGCCTCCAGAGCAGCAGCTGAGCATCCTCCCCGCCCGTCAGCAGTGACTCATCTGCCAGGTTCCAGCAGAAAGAGCGAACAGTGGCCGAGTGTCCTCCACCGAGGGTGCCCACCAGGCTCAGCCCATCAGCACCGCAGCTCAGTAGGTGAATTTTTCCTGTTGATGTTCCTCCAATAAGAAAGAGTCTGTCTGCCTTTTCGTGGTACGCACCGCCAACCAGGTAATTCAAGCTGTCGTTCTCAATACAGACCGTGTCTCTGGCGTCCTGAATGCGCAGCAGAGTTATGGGCTCTTCAGTATCTAACTGAGCAAGGTCCCACCAACAAAATCCCTCGTCGTGTGTCATGCAGTAGATCTGCTCGTAACCCTTCCCGGACCAGCCAATAAAACTTATCGATGAATCCGAATTGCAGGTTGATATCAAAGCATCGTCTTCATTGTCCTTGTCGATGTCAAACACATTAACCAAGCCATCAGTTGACCCAGAAACTACCCAACTGGGTTTGACAGGATGAAAACAGATTTTGGTGACATCATCATTGTGACTTTCAGAATAGACTCCCAAGGGTTCCCTAGTCGTGCCGGCACAGTCCGTGTTGCCTCTTGCATCCCAAAACACCAGAAACGTATCCTTTTCAACCTTTTCTGTTCCAGCACAAATTATGAGATCATTGCAATTGATATCAAAACTGATAAAGACGTTGGAAGGATAGCCACTAAATATCTGCACAGCCTTCTGAGCCGCTAAACGAATATCCCAACATTTTATTGTGCCATCGCTGCACGCAGAGAACACCAGGCTGTCACACGTGTGCGCAAACCTGACTCCATTAAGCATCCCAGGACGGCTACTGTACTCCCGCAGGAAGTTTAATGTTTCCCTGTTATACAGCCTAATGGACTGGTTGGAACACGAAACTGCCACGCAGCGACCGCTCTCGGATGGGGCAGAGCGGGAAACGTCGATGTCCAGTAAGTAGGCGGGCTCCTCCCTCAGCACCGAACGCTTCGCTATGCGCAGCCGGGCGAGCTGCTCCTCGATCTTCTCGAGTGCAGACATCTCAAACGCTGTTCCTGGCGTTGTCAAAAATCTGCAATAAATAAAACCCAAGTTTTAATTATAAAATTCTGATATATGAGCTTTTATATATATATATATATATATATATATATATATACTCACATGTATATATCTATCTATCTATATATATATATATGAAAAAGTTTCTTGCAAAGAGGTAATGAATGAAATCAAATCTGATTATCCTGACATTCTGCGTACAACTTCATTTACAGAAACAGAAAACCAGCAAGGGTTTCCCAAGTAAAGGAGCTCAGTCTCTCCTGACTGTAAGCACTACATCATACAATCCCCTTCAAAGATTACACAGTCTGTTTGTGAATGCTGTAGGAGTCATTTAGCTACATTTGCTTTATTGTTTTTCTGAAGTAAGTGGCAAAGCGATGTTCCACAAGTGGAAAGGCAAAGGCATCATCAGCACCTGAAGAACAATTCTGTCTGCTAGCAGGCACAGCCCACAGACAGCTCCACCAGGACAACTGCAGAGCCTTCCTGGGTTAACTTCTCCACTGAGAGCCGCACAAAGCATAAGCAGAGAACAAGACAAAATTAAGAACTACAGCCTGAAATGGCCAGATGAGGTAAATTGTACAAGTGTTCAGGTGCCCAATGACACACACCAACGCCAGTAAGCGTACCATGGGCCACCTACACGGGCAGCAGGGTAACACCACAATTCGCAGGCGCTGAGTACCTTTGGCATTTGCATCAAACCTCCTAAGAGCCCACACTCATCTTGAGACTCCTAAAGAAAACACATACCCTCTATTTTTTTTTTTTTTTTAGTGCAACTGGATATGAAAAATCTTCCCTTCAGAGGCAGTTCTTCATCAGGAATTACTGAATTCTTCTCAAAACAGACAGTATTTTGGTGATATACAGAAGTATAAAATTTTCCAAAGCAAAAGCAACATTCAAACATATTCTCTCAGCCCTCACAAAGAATGAGGAGTCCTTGGGAAAATAAAAGTTCTCCTTCCTGCAGCACAAAGGAAAACTCAATTCTGTAATTGTGGGGAAGGCTTCCATCAATTCAGAGTCAGAAAAAGTCCTCAAACGTTTCAATTGACATGCAGTATTTACCACTACAAACAGCAGGTGTTTTCAAACCCCGTGTTCTGAACCCCATCAGTTCACAAACTTTGACCATTTTTCAACAAAAAGACGTGGCTGGGGTATGGAAAGGAGGCATAACCATCCACATGGATGATTCCTGTCCAAATTACAGGGTCAATCAGACTACTCTTTTGTGTTAAAAAAAAGGAATCAGTAAGTTCAGGGGGTCAACTCTGATGTTCTCAGTTGTAGGTATTTCAGCTAACGTAAATATGGGTAAAGCAGTATCCAAAAAATCTCCTTATTGCCTTAAGAACCAGGTCAGTGCCCAGCACATACACAGATGGATTCTTTTTGAGAACATTCAGTTAGAAACCAAAGAGAACTCAGACAGGCCAGAATGCGGGAAGAGATCCTCAAACTTTTCCAGCTGTCCTATCAATTTTTCCTCCTAATTCTTCAGGCTGGATTTTTAGGGATAGAATGAGCAAGTTGCCACGATTCCTTGGTTTTGGCAAATCATTTTAATGTTCCAAGAGAGACCAGCAACAAAGGAAAAGTTGCCATGACAAAACTGCATTCTGCGTTTGTTTTGTTTTTATTTAACCCTGTTGTTCATAGTTTCAAGGTTCTGCTTTCCTCGCTCCTGTTAGGCGCCCACAGATATTCACCACACCGTGTGACAAATGAGCAAATTCTTATAAAACAGCTTAAGTAGGCACACTCATAAAAGCTTAATTCCCAAGTCACAAATAATGTGCTGAGGCTATTCAACTGGGTAATATCCCGACAGCGAGGTCCCAGGTTAATCTCCTACATCAAAGCCGCCTTTCAGAGCACATCTACAAGTAATTTTTGCCATAAAATGCAGACATCCTGTGGAAACTCCTTTCCCCTCCAAGAAGAATTTCAACATGTTTTCTGGCATTAGCTCGTGTACAACCTACCCACGGAGCCTACTTCTTACCCACTTTTCCGGGTCTGTCCTCAAATGGAACAAGCTTTTAGCAGAACCAAAAGCAGGCAGCTGCTGTCAAACGCCACTTGCTCAGCGGGATGCAAGGCTAAGGCCCAATTTTATCTGGATTTGTTGAACTTCATTTCTGAAAAATCGCCACGTAGCACTGTAACAGTGTTTTTGTCAGGCTAAATAAGGTAACTCGAAAAATCATAACACGATGTCAAGAGACAGAATTGCAAGAAAGTTACAAAATTATTAAAATTCCATGGAAATTAATTGAAATTTTAAACATCTAGAATATTTTATGATTAACAATATTATTAATAATGACAGCTTTTACTTAATCTGAAGAATCAAATCAGTCTGAAGAATCACAACAGCAGCTTCCAATAAAATGCAGTTTCAAGCACGTGCTTGAACATGGAGAAAGGAGTTTTGTTTTGCTTTTGTTTTTTTTATAAGCCAGCTATCCTGCACTGCCACACTTACAGAAAATTTGGGGTGCGGTCTGTAAATTTTGTTAGAAAAAGGTATTTTCCCAGACCGACCCAAGCTTCAAGCTCAAAATATTGAGACCTGTTTTTTTTTATACTCAGAAGGCCAAGCAAGCTCAGACACATTCCTGACAAACGCTGTCCATTTGGGAAGAAAGCTGCAGTGGTTCAGTATTACCGGCTGTGATAAAGGAAGATTACTCAGGGAGCAGCTTCTGCAACTCTCGTGTCAGGGCTTTGACGTCAGAGGAGGGTGAGGGAATTCTGCAGGTTCTCGGAAGTTGTGAAAGGCCAGACTGCAGAACCATGTTTCATCCAGATTTAATAATACTCGCTGGGAAATAAAATTAGCCCAAGATAGCTCCTCAGCTTTCACTCCCAAATGACGCAGGTACAGCTAGGTTAAAGTACCAGCAAACACTTCATGTTTTCCAGATAGATGTGCAATTTATGTATCATCAGGAGGCTGGAGGGTACAGTTCTCAATCCTATTTCCACTGCAACAACTAAGAAGCCGTAATAGCGCATTGATGGCAGCCAGGTTTCTGCTAAAAACTCAGTAAAATGTCTGCCTGAGCAAGAAAGTCTTCAGACTATTATGAAATTGTGATTGAAGGTTATATAAACAACTCATGCTCAAACTTCAGGGTGTAGCTGCCAGCCCTTCCTCTGCAGGAGGGGAAGTTGCTGTTGTATTTTGATGGGAAAGTTTAAATGGCAGGAATAGGATCTCCGTTAAATTTATGAGACAAATAGGAAACAATGGTCTTCCAAACACAATAGGAGATAACGATGCGTTGGAGTGCTGCCACTTGCAGAGCACACACTGCTCCGCGCCGCAGAAGGGAAGCACAAGCACGGTGGTTTAGCCTCGCGCACTCCAACTTCGACAACCCAGGCACCTGGTTTGGGTCAGTCACCGAGCAGCCTCTTCACAGCATGGCACAGTTTGGACACAGCACAACTGCCATCACAGGGATCAATTTGGCAAGCTGCAGGGCTCAGAGGCTGCACTGCTCCTGTCTCAGCAGAAAGGGCAGAGAGGCCTTCAGAAAAGAAGAGGTTTGGGCTGGTGCTGTGGGTATGAGGCAGTCGATTTAAGTTCAGATTCTTCCTTTATTCCACCTCACAGAGGCCCACGGTCTGGACCTACTGAGTACAGTCTTACCGCAGACAAAACGCAGCGCTGTCAACGTGCCAGGAAAAGCAATAAACACCACGTGCATTTACACAAGTACATGCACTGGCTGCAGCATCTGGCCATCACCAGTCACCTGCTCCCGAAACCAACGCCCACCGCCACCCACAGTGGTGCCGCTCCTCATCCCGAACTGCTGCTGCATCCCTCACCTGCAGCCCGAGCAAGGCAAAGCCACCCTTTAACTAAACCTCTCATTCTGTCTGAGCACGTAGTGCTGGGCTCTCTGTGTACCACTCCAAACATGCAGTTTAAACTCAAGCCAACAGGCTCCCGAGTCCTTTTTAATCCAGAAAGCTTTTGAAAAAATAAATCAGCAATTCATAAGCAATTTTCCTTCTCCTTTTAGTTTTGCACATGAGATGCTGTGAAATTGCATAGGTCTCAATTCTGAAAGGGAACATTAGCTCAATGGCATATAGGAACATAAAATTACCTCTGAAAACCACCATGGGAAACGTGGAAGGAATGGAACTTTGCCTCAAAGATTGAGCCAATACACGAGAGTAACTTGTGAGAGAAGAGACGCGCGTAATAAAAATGAAAACAACCTGTAGGTTTGGCAATCTTCTCCGCAGAGGTCAAATACCAAAAATAGCAAGGGATTTGAACAGTAGATGAAATCTTGCACCGCTCTTTCCTACTATAAACAATGCTAAGAGGCCCTCCCTTTATTTTTATGATTATTGAAAGTTCAAGAACAAACGAGGATTAAACCTGAAGCCCCGGACAGCGGGAGCAATTCACGCAGGCGAGGCTACGTGTGCTTTGCGGGTTTGTTTTAAAATGCAAAGCACAGCGTCGGTGGAGGAGACGCATTAGCACGCTGCACTTCACTAATGCAAAACGTCTTCGGAGACCTCTCCTCGCTGGCACCACTTCACAGCAGAAGATGGATCAGCCAAACGATCTAAGCACTGAGGGGAAGCGCACAAACCCCATCAGGCATGCATAATTTCTGCAGGATACAAGCTCCCGGGGCTGATTTTGTTATTTTTACCAAAGCAGCAAGATAAGGTGTTTTTCCAGCGTTCCCATAAAGCCTTTGCTAAGGCAAAGAGAACAGCACTCAGCCCACCACGCAGGAAGGGACTAAGATGCACAAGAGGCTATGCTAAAGTGCAGAGACAAGACGTAAACTGCCAGAATTATTTCATCCTTTCAGATCAGCTACACGTAGGTTCCAAATAAAGCACAGCAAGAAAAAAAAAACACTCATCAGTTTTGCATTTGTAGCACAGAGAAAAACATTACATCAAGGGAACAGAAAGTAGGAAAAAGATACAAATGACTGCCCAAGT